CTTTAAAACAAAATATTTTCCTTTGATTGAGCTTTTTGTTTTTAAAACAGAATCATTCTCCAACCCCCTGCAGATCCCTACAAGGCTCAGAGCTGACAGAAGTAGGTGGGGGTGGTGAAAGGGAGAGCTATATATTTGATTTGTTTGGGGTTTTTTTACCTTGCAGAAGAAAATTAACTCCTACAGCAAACTCTTCTATGCCAAAACAGCCATGACACATCACCTCCATCAATGCTGACAACTCGAAATTTGATGTAGACATAATTTTCACATGACAAGAAGAGTTTGTTCTCCCTTATTTTAGTCATCTTCAAATTCTTATGCATGTCAATATTTGTGTTTCATATGCCCAGGAACACATACAGATCACAGCAGCGATAACTACCTGTACTGTTTTCCACCAAACAAGTAAAGAACTAAAATCCCCACGCCACTGCAACCTTTCTCAATTAGACATGACTTGGATACTGCAGTCTGCAAACAGACAACAGACTACGCTTCCCATTTCAAAATCTAATTTACTTGTAGCAGGACAAGGCAGGCTGATCATTTGTTGCGAAACAAAGGGAAATGCTTGAACAAATGAACTGTGTCCTGCTAGAAGCAGGCACATTGTTTCAATTCCTCGGAGTCCAAATTTTGCAGGTCACGTGGAGCAGCAAGCTGCTGCCAAGTCCAAGTGTGCAATGTTTAAAATCCTACTCTTTATCTCATTTTTCCTACCTTGGCTTTGTACCATTAAATACACCCTCAACCTCCAAGTTGTGTTAAAAGAACAGTCATCTCCATTATCTCAATAAGTCTTTACAGTTGATGAAAATAAAAACAGTAAGTAGACCTACCAAAAGTTGACATGGGCTACTTTGCACAAGGCTGTCTGTGGGGAAATGTGCACTGGAGTGTCCTCACTGAGAAGGGAAAGTTACGCTTCAACATGCATCACCAAAGCTGTGTTAAAAATTCCAAAGTAAACCAAGCAAGCTGTTCCCTTAACATGTTCAGCTTAAATGCCTCAGCATACATTTTGACCAACTTGTTGGATTGCAGCTTCTGTTGTCTAAAATCAGACTCTAACACACCTTGGATGGAACTGGTGCAGATTTTCTCCAGTTGCCCTTCGATTTCTCTGTGCTATACAGACTAAATTGCCTATGTTGCAGCATAAGGAAATCCTGCTGCCCAGAAGTCAGCAGAGGAAAATTAATGAAATCAAAGGGCTGCAGAAATACACATTTTGTTTAACTTTGCACACATGAGACATGTTATTGAGTTCAGTAGCAACATTTAAAAGACTGACTTAACAGCCTTCCCACTACAGCCAGATAAGAAGAGCAAGGAGAGAGGAACACCAGGTCTGGGAGATTTAAACTCCTCTAACACAATGAGATAGCATCTGGTATAATCATGAGATCCAGGGAGCAGGTCACCCACAAAAAATATCTTTCTATACCACTGCTCATGCAACTTAACTAAACTAAACAATAAAGCTCCAATGAGACATTCTGGATTTGGCTGCTGGCAAGAACACAAATGAGAAATGCTTCAGTGGCCGGGAAATATGGGCTACCGCTAACATGGCACATACTGCTTACATAAATTAAAGCAGAATTTTCACATGAAAATTTATTTATTTAGATATTGTTTGGGGGCAGTCTATGTATTACTGAAAAATGAAATTAATATTGTTTCCATCATATGAGGATAGAAGGTTTGAATACATATGAGAAAGGGATTCTTTGAATAAACATTGAAGGGTAAGGCATACCATAGTAGTGCCAACATGCCCTAGGTAAAGACAAGAGCAGTTCCAGGGAGAAACAGGCCACACTGCTCAGATGTACACCAGCACACACTTACACGTGGCTCCTTTCAGCAGTTTTGTCCCCATTCAAGAACCATGCACAAGCAAGATGCAAGAACAGAGCTGATACGTAACACTGACCAGAAAGAAATTCCTCCAACAAAATTCCTAAAGAGACCTTTTTAAACACTCACTTTCTTCTTATTGAACTGTATTACTGTCTTGTCATGATTTAGAGGCCAATGAATGTATGTACTTCTGTGTTGGAAGGGAGCCTCATCCCCTGTGACATTTCAAGTGCATGTACTCTGGTGTACTCTGGTAGGGATACCCATTAAAATCATTGAGCAAAAGCATACACTAGTCTCTTAATTCAACATGTCATCCCTCCAAGGCCTGGGGACCTCACTTCAACAAGTATTCTAGAATCATTTTTTCAAGGCAGGAATAAGCCAACACAACCATCACATCCATAGTAATGCTCTTTCCTATTACCAACTGGCACTGATTTCTACCATGTAGCAGCCTGTTTAATGGCCAGAACATGATAAATATCACTAATTCTCCTTTGGTTTAAATACTATTTATGATTGTATTATTTTTCCATCTGGCTTCGATCTTTTTTCTCTTTGTTTCACCATTAGCACCCTGTTTTTTCTATCTAAAACAGAAGTGTCTTTATTTACCAGCACTTGTCACACAGTCCCTATTGCGATGAAAAAGTACAATCACTATCAATACCCCCAAACATAACAAAGAATTAACCACTCTCTCTGCCAGAAGGAAAAAGTAAAACACTTCTGAATGCTGCTAGCAATAAATCAAATATTTCCTCTACAAAGTCCTCATTTGCAATGTTGTTACAAAACAAATAGCAATATAGTTCTTGAAGCAAATACAGTTCTTGAAGGACTTAGTAAGACTGTTTACCTACTTATTCCTCTTCACTCAGCACTGGGGAGGTCTGAAGTAGCAGGACTATTGGACACCATATTGTAGAATGAGTCAAAGAAATAAACAAAAAAACAATTAAAGATTTAAAGAAAACATAATTCACGTGAAGGAACTTGGGTTGAGTCTGGGGGTTTTTTAAACCCTCACAGAGGGTAACTGACAGATGGGGTGGTAACAGTCCTCATGTCTGTAAAAGGCTTATTTGAGAAGGAAGCAAGCTATTTTTCTGCAGCTCCACTGGCAAGTAAAAGAAATGCTGCCATCTTGACATGCACGACTTTTCAGAGACAGGATCATGAAACAAGCCAGCCAAAGTTCTTGTGCAAGCAGTAGGAAACCTGCCACTGAAGGATTTTTACAGACACGTTTTGTCGGGTTTGGTCCAGATAAACTTTACACTGCTGGCAGCAATGGGGATGAGCAGGCAGCTGATCCGCACCACCCCCTTTCGGGCATGCCTCTCTTCATGTTCATGACCTACTGCAGCACTGGAGGGGACAGATGTGACTTAACGGAAGACCAGGAAGTTTGCAGATCCTGGATCGAGCAAGACAGAATTTCTACAGTGTAAAGCCTTTTGAGGAGAAGGCCAGCACGTGGTGCCAACACGCTGCTGTGATTACTGCATGATTGCCACCAGCACAGAGGGTACTGAAAACCCACCAGCATCCCAGCTATCAGACCTCAAGCTGAAGGAGGTTTTGGGGGTTCCACCGAGGAGCTCCACCTGGGAACTTGCAGGGTGCCACCATAGCACTGCGGCCATACAGGGCCACCACCTTCGATGCCCCAACAGCTGCTTGTCACCAGAATCCCTCGCTCCATCTGCCACCACAGTGGTTTTCATGGCTCCTTTTGAACAAATGGTTGTGCTGGCTTGGTTTAAGAGAAGAGCTGTACAGTATCCCAGTCCAAAAAAATCCTCTATTTGAAGTTTAAAGATATGCTTACAAGTTTTGCATGTACAATAATAAGGCATAACTTTTTTACAACTCAAAAGCCAAGATCAGACTAAGTTCATGGGCAAATACATGTGAACTTTTGATTTGGACCTGTCACCAAAGCCTACAGCTAGTCCTGGGGCTTTGGAAAAGAGTTCCACTCCAAAAACCAAATCAAAACAAAACCAACATTAAATAACATAAAAGCATATGTAGGCCATTTCAAAACCTATGAAATCACTGCAGAGGTACCAAAGTACCACGAAGTACAAGATTTAAAAACATTTACAGTACAACGTTTAGAAACATGTTCATTTGGAGGTTAGAGGGCAGAGGAGGAAAGGCATATATCCAACATCTGACCTCATCTTCTATTATGAATCCACTCCCATGATTCTATCCCACTTAACGACACACAAATTTCTTACAAAAATTACAGATACATTCTGGTTATAATTCTATTATTAATAACAACATAACAACACAGATATTCCTAAACTATAGTCAAAACCTGAGGATAAAGAGTGTGCTGAGGGGTGTCAGTACTGGCAGAACCAGATCATTTGGAAAGCGGTAAGTAACGTTAACAGCACTTCTACTGTACTTGTAGACCAGAAGCATAATTGGAAAATTTCTCCCCCATACAGACAGCTGAATTGTGGTTTAAAAATAAATTATTGCAGAACATACAAAAACAAAAATCAAAGTTTGATTTCAGTGTACATGACTGAGAGCAAAGCACTGAGAGAGTAATTCTGGTGATAAGCTCTGGCACTCTGTGTGAGATATTAATGCAACAAACAATAGCAACTAAAGCTATTTTAAATATATACCTATAAAAGCTCAGTGACCTACCAAATATGCTGATCTCAGTACTAATAAAATATATTTGATTAATAGGAATGACTGGAAAGATCACACCTTTCTTAATAGTCTTAAGAGCATATAAAAATTGTCATACAGACAAACCATAAAATATTTTTTAGAACCTTGAAAAACAAATTATTTAATCATTTCTGTATTACGCTTTCTTTCTCAGAAGCCACATGATCCATATGATTATAACCTCATTGTCTGCAGCACAAACTCCCTTTGCATAACTACAACTTTCCAGGTTTAGAAACCTACATAAAGTGTGTTACAAATCACTGCTGGTTCAGGGAAAAACAGTATTTACTTTCTCTGTCTCATCCCCCCTAGATATCATACGGCAGACCAAGTTTCCAAACAGACTGATTTCTGAGGTAAGCAGACATATTCAACATACATACATACATGGATGCACACAAAGAGCCAGTACTTACAGCTAAAGATGCCTGGAGGTGGATGCTCTGTTACAAGCAGACAGTTCTCTTCATCACTGTTATCCCCACAGTCATTCTGTTGGTTACAAATCAACGAACCAAGATACAAGCATTTACCACTGGCACAGGTGAATTTGCACTCTGAAAGGCAAAAAAGAAACCAAAACAAAAATTTGTGAGGAACTGATGCTTACCTTCTTCACTGCTACAATGACTGATATTAAAGGCAGTATTTTTCAAGTAGGTGTTATCATGGTGGACACGTCTCTGGCACTTAAACACCGAAATAAATAATACAGTATTTGTAGCATTGCACGTATAAATATATACATGACACATTCCAGATCACCAGAGTCAATTCACTAGTAAATCAGATTTGCCATTTGGGGAAATTCAACTACTTCTTAAAAAACAGACTATTTTTTTGTAGTTCATGTTGATTACAGTTCACTTCAGACAAAGACTATGTTCTCATATGTGTTTGTGTGGCACCTTGCACATTCAGGGAGAGACGGCACTATGAACAAATAACTGTCACACATTTTAAAAAGTCTTGCACAATGTAAAACAGCATCAGCTGTAAGGCAACAGTATAGTTTGTAACCAGGAACAATCCTGTCCAGACACAGACAATTATTCCTTAACTACCTTCCCAAAACCAATTTGCCAGTCTCCCAAATAATTACAATCAGCCTCTGCACAGTAACTCCCACATGCCACTTTGCCTTACAAAGCCAGTAAACTTCTAAAACCTCTACAAAATGTCTGAATGCTATACACAGGCATGCTGGTTTACATTTCATTCATTACAAAAAAACCTGGTTTCCCCTAAATATGGTTCCACCATGAGAATAATTCCTATGAGACCAAGTATTTCAACAAAAGCTTTGTTACCTCAAGTTCCTTCCTACTTCTCTCCCTTCCTCTGCAAAGGATGCAGGCTGGCTAACTAATCCTGGGTAAAACAGCTCACTAGACAGATCCCTAGCTCTTCTAAAATAAATATTGAGAAAAACTCCTTACCTCATCTCCCACCCAAGGTTTACATGGACAGAAGAGCTACAGGGTTACCCCTTCAGACAGGGAAGATACTACCTCCATCCTTGGCCTTTTGTTTACTGGTCAAGACTCAGTAAGTGCTAACCAGTGGCAGCTTTTTATGGGAATTACAGTCCAGTGCCTTATAATCTTGGATGGTTTTTCTTTAATTTTCAGAGCCCAGTCAGACAGGGCTTCAGTCTGACTGACTTGCCTTCTGTCAGAAGCTGTAATACCTCAGTAATTAAATAAGGTGTTACATACTAAGGATGTCTACTATGGTTGATAATTAAAATTCCATTGCCCTTCTGCTAAACGGATCATTTAAATGTCACTTCCAGAAACAAAACTTTACAGTAAGTATTTGAAATGTAATTAAGAAATGTTCACAAAAATATACATGCAATTATTTCTCACTAGGCTTGTTCCAAAGTTAAATACACTACACATATAGAACAGAAAACATATCTAGACAAATTATAATTTAATGATTAAATTTCCAGTATGTTGACAAATTCTAGGTGATTGTCATTCACAAGCAGAGGCAAAGTAGAAGGAACTAGGAACACTCAGAAGTAGTTTATTAATGCTGTTCCCTGAACGCTGGGCTTCCCTAAGGCTGCAGTTTGGGTTGGCTGATTCTGCTGCAGAGATGATCACTGGTCCTTGCCAGCAAAGAGATGGCATTTGTACATCTTCAACAGTAGCAATGAGAGACTTTCTTTTAATCTTAACAGCACTTGGACTTACTCTGAACTGAGATGACAGGACCTCTAATCCTAAAAAGCCCCTAGAACAGTTGCTGAGCTTGTGATATTTATCCACATGTATCTGATGTGTAGCACAAGCATGGTAATAGTGAAGGAGAGGAAAAATAAATTGAGAAAGGGAACGAAATAATTTTTCTTAGCAAATTTGTTTTGTAGGTAAAAGTGATTTCCAAACTTCACTCTGAACACTTTTCATCAAGAGTATTAATGACATTTTGGTACACATACTAGCAAGAATCTGCTGCTGAAAAAATATATGCATCAATATGTGTAACATAATATGCTACTTAGGAATATAAATAAAAGCCATAAAATGCTACACAAGATAAAGAAGCATTTCCCATGGAAAAAATTTTTCTATTTCACTTGGTCAAGCTGCACTCAAAAATCAGCAAGTACTTGCCTAAATAAGGTCCTCAAGATTTAAGCTTTATTAGTCCATCCTTGCAGTACTTGAACTATTTGAACTGTACAATAAAATACTGTACAAACAAAATATTTTTCTCTGTTCGTCACCCTGTCCTTCTCTGCTATAACAAAAAACTGAAGAGGCATTTAAGTCTTAGGTTTTCTGTTTTGAGTACAGAGAAAAAAATTTATGAAAAAAATAATGAAAAATTTATGAAAAAATTCAAAACCAAACAGAGTAAGTCTTTGAAACCCAAGGAACTAAGAAGGTCATTAACAGTTACTTTTGGAAAGGAGACTTAAAAGATCAATCTCAGTATTAATAATCTGATAATTACAACATTTCAGGACTCATTTCTGCCACTTCATGAAGTAAGAAACTAGAACAAGTAATGAACAAAGCTGCCTTAGAAGGTTAGAAAAGTTGGCTTGAAAGGGTTCAAACTTTCTAGGTATCTTAAATGAGGAATATAACACAGGGTGAAATTAAGAGTGGTAAAGGACATACTGCTTCAATTTGAAAGACAAATATCAAACACCAAACACCATATTGCTTGAAGTTAGAACATTTGGCATGTTACTTTGGCCACAGTATTTAATTCTGTCCGGTGTCTTTGCGTTGAGTCCTAATGTTCCACGCTTACCCCATGGGTGACATAAAATGTTCAAGCAAGATGTCAGCGCAATTAAAGCTAAAGAACTTCGGGTTTCTGTTTGCCACTAGATTACACAATCTTCAGACAAAAGACCAAACAAAGCATTAAATTTTTATTAGCTCTATTAATGTCTTAAAGTGCTGCTTTTTAACTAACATTACCATAAAAGGACTAACCAGAGGAAAGAATTTGTGCTTTAAGGAGGGTTTTTTGTCATAAATAACAGACCACATCGAAAATTGGCTTCAAAAAACAGACTCAATCAACTTTTCTTGTAAAATTTTATGGCTATTTCCTCCCTCCCTCTGATACATGAACATTGCCATTGTCAAAGTGCATTAAAAAAAACTCAGTCAGGCCTCTTGTCCCCTGTTGACGTGCCTATGTCGACTGGAAGGTTGCTCACAATACCACAGGAATTCTGTGTTGATTTTTAAATGGAACTTTTTTAAAGAGTTGTCAAAATCATCTTGCCTTGTGATATCCCACCAAATCTATTTGCCAAGCAGTCATGCTGTACTGGGCCTGGCTGGGATGGAGTTAACTTTCTTCATAACAGCCCCTATGGTGTCATTTTGGATTTGTGACCACAGTAGTGTTGATAGCACATCAGTGTTTTGGCTATTGCTGAGCATTGCCTACCCAGTATTGAGGCTTTCTTTTTCTCACTCTGCCACTCCGAGGGAGTAGGCAGGAGTTGGGCAAGAGGCTGGGAGGGGACATGGCCAGGACAACTGACCACAGCTGACCGAAGGGATCCTCCATGTCATACAGCATCATGCTCAGCAATAATAAACAGGGAGTTTGTCTTCCCATTGCTCAAAAACTTGGCTGGGCATTGGCCTACTTATGGGAGGTGGTGAGTGACTGCCTTTGCATGACTTGTTTTTTCCCCCTCTTTCCTTCACTTACTAAAACTGTCTTTTTGCTGTTACTGATCTTCCTATTCTCTTCCCTGTCCTGCAGGGTGGGAGGGGGCAGTGAGCAAGCAGCTGTGCTGTGAGGGTGCTTAGCTGCTGACCAGGATCAACCCATAACACATGCATGTGTAAAAGTAACTTCTAAATCTAACAAAATTTAGTATCAAATGGATGACACAAAAGTGCAAAACTTAGCCTCCATAATCACATTCTGTTGGTCAGAAGGAAAGATGTACCGTAGGAATGGGACAAATTAATTAAGCAGATTATTCAATGAAAATACAAATACTTCCGAGCACAGAACATACTTTGCATCAGGTATTTGTGACTTGTAAACAAAAATTCATAGTAAATGCATTTAAACACTGTGTGCTCTTACTAAAACCAGAAGTGAACCCTTCCTTGTAAAGCAAGGTGAAACAAAGTCAGGCTGATAAAGACCACAGAAAGCAAATATTAGAGTACTGTCAAACTGGAAGTTAGTAAACAGACGTGCAGAGATCTGTACCAAAATACTAGGAGTGACCTCAAAACACTCTGGCCGGGAAATCCAGACCAGTCCAGACTAAACCAATGTACCTAATGACACACCAGAGAGCCCTTTTCAGTACAAAGTCTTGTATTTGGCCCGTCTAGACAAAGAGGGGAAAAGCTCCTGTTCTGAAAACAAGCCAGCACTATCCTTCTTTCACAAATAATGTTTCCAAGCTAAACAGTTTTCCATTTCATTTTCAAGTGGCAATTAGTGAAACATCAGTAGGTCAGTCAACAAAGCTTTGACTAGAGCTAAACCTGAAGCAAGATGACAGCTACTGGAGGTTGAAAAAAACAGCCCTTCTTATAATTGTATCTTACTATGTTCATAATTATGTCTGCAGCATAATTTTAAATTTTATCTTGATGATATACTGATTCTTTAATATAAAGTTTTAAGAAACAAACTTCCAGGTAGAACTAGACTACCGTGAAAAAAAGCAATACTATTTCCTATTTTTACAAATTGTATGCAAGAAGTATAAATAAGCATATTGCTCAAACATTCAAGATAGCTGCTTATATGTATAAACTCTCTCCATACAAATATCCATTAATATATGACTACATTTCAAATAGTTAATTGAAGGTTATGTTTCAGATTCAACAGCAAAAGATGGATTTGCCTAATACAAAAACCAACTCTGATCTGAGGTTTTTTTATTGTGAAATGCAAGATCTCTTGTATTGGGTAGGCTTATTTTACATTTCCATGCCTACCCAATGAGACAATTTTATCCTTGCATTCAACTTAATTCTTTTAGACTTCATTTACACTTGACTTCATCCATATGAACAGCATTCCCATTGTTTTG